GGCCAGTAAGCGACTTCGAAAATTTTAAGCAGGACTAAATACACTGATCATCAATAAGTAATATAATCAATAAATACTTATTAAATATATTTCTCATTTAGCACATTTTTTCTGTGTTTGTTAACAACTGAACAATTGGTAGTGAAAAAATGTTGCTATTAGAAATTTAGAAGTTGTGGGAAAAGTGACTTACATTGGGCATGACCTATCATCCTTTTGGGTTAGAAGCTGTCAGGATGACCAACAAGCCATCCTGGCCCATAGCCAAGACAGGAATGTGAATAAAGTTGTACATCAAGCTGATGGATAATAGACACTGAGACTTAACACTTCCTCTGGGAACAGGGGCATGCTCACTATACACAAGGACCTTCCTGGAGAGATGTTAATCTTTAGTTAGTTTGGTTTGCTCTATGCCCCTTTCTTACCTGCTTCTAGTAGGTAGAAAAAAATATACAAGCAAGAAATGACAAGACTCAGGCAGAACATCTGTCCAGTGTCACCCACCACTCTTCTATAAACCCTGAATAAAACTCACCCATGGAGCAAGCTGGAGTTGATGGAGTCATTCTCTGGGCTGCTGGGCCATGCTCATCTACAAGAAGGGCCTTCTTTGACATCTCTCTGGGAAAATCGCACTTCTGAAATAATTGACACCTGAACAGGGACTTGATCTTAGGACCCATGTGCATTGCCTGCTTGCTCCCCCAGGTCAGAGGCCACACCTGAACCACCCCAACCTCAACATCTCAGGACATACTTGGAGCACCCTAGGTCAGAAGCCGTACCTATAGACAAACATGTAGCCCATGTATACCACTGTTTGGAATAGATTAACTTAGATGGTTAAACTTAGACATTTATATGATCGTACCCCACTGTGCCTACACAGGCAGAATGAAGCAAGCATCACTTTACACAGGTATATGTGGTGACTACCCCCCGAAACCTACAATGGAGTGTTACAGATACGGGGTAATGCATAGGCAAACAGAATATTTATTTTTCATACTGGGTTTTCTATCTCCCCGCATGGCAGATTGATCATAGGGAACTCACTGTGCCCATGCCTTTTATATGGCTGTACTAGAAGATGCACACTTGGCTGCCTTGCCAGCCAGCTGAATTTTTCCACACTACCAGCCAAATCCCCATTATCTCTTATCATCTAAGAACCATTTCCAAGGAGTCCATCCTGGGAGGAATGCACATTTATTTTATTCTGTTCCCAAGTGAGAACTCTAGATACACTAATGCAAATAGAAGTTATTGACAACTCTCTAAGCCAGATACATACAAGTATATTTCTATTAAGCCAAAAAGACCATACAAAGGTCTTTTAAAGGTAGTGCTATAAGATCAAATGGCTCTAGATCTGCCCACACTATGCCTGTGGATATTTAACACTCAGTGTTGCTTACTGTGCTTCTATAGCCACAGGACAAACACAATGAATGCTAAACCATTTAGATGTACGTGCTCCACCAGCTCCAGTCACTACCCAACCAGTGCCAAACTTTTCAAGTCTAACATTTGGGCCACTTTAGAAATAAGTGGTTGTTGCTGCAGTCTAGATTGTTGTGACACAGCAGCTCATGCTTGACTCTCAACACACAAAAATAGCTGTAAATTCTTCATATGAGACCCTATAAAGTCCTCATATAATACCTCCTAGAAGGCAAAAAAAAAAAAAATCTGCACATGCAAACTCCAATGATAAGAGCTCTGTGACAGGGTGGCATGGAGGAAACTGGCCTTTCGGGCTTGACACGTCTGTCACCATTTGGATGCCAAAGCCATCATCATAACCAACAAGGGACCGTGGCCCATAGGCAAGGCCAGAAAATAAACCAAACTGTAATGTGTATGTAAGTGATAAGCTCTGGATACAGAGCTTATTAACATCTCTTCCTCCTAAAGGGGCGTGGCTAGAAACGAGCGATTCTCCAGGAGATTAGAAACCACCTCTCCCTGCTGTCTACTGCTGTGTAGCAAACAGACACGCAGAAACAATCAAAGGATGGTGGGTCTTTGGTGGGGTGGTGTCCTGATGTCACACTGCTCTGTAAGGAACCCACTTAAAACTCACTCTGGGCAGCCTGAATCTGCTGGGGTCATTCTGGGAGCTGTTGGCACCCTCCCACTTAGAAGATATTTTTTTTATGTCTCCCCGAGAATCCGCATTTACACAGCAGACATCTAGCTAGCATGATGTTTATGAAGATTATTTAGCCCAGTTAAGGTGATGCAAGATGTATACTACTGCAGCATCATTTTGCTTGTATTTGGTATGACGGAGTCTACTGTTTTCTAAGTCTGTGCCCATCAGCTGCCACTTTATTTGAAGAACATAAAGCAGCATTTTCTTAAATGAGTTCATGGTTCAGATATCTCATTCAGACAATCCTTCCTCTAAGTTAGTGTCAATTAGTGGCCTTTCTCTTAGTAAACTTTCTCCAGTTATGAGAGGGCCCTTCCTCCTAATTAAAGAGAGACACTGGGCTCACAGGAACAGGGGAATGCAGTTGAAGTCAACGACTACCTCTGATTGAGACACAGGTTGAGACACACAATTTGTCAGGGTGCACGGACACCTCTTTCCATGGTTTATACTTATTTTAAGGAATGCAATAAGTTGAAAACTTTGGTGAGTTCAATTTTATAGGCAAAATTAAGAAAAAGTGGAAGTTTGTCAACATGTTATTATATATACAATGCACATATTTAACATATACATTTAGATGAGTTTGAGTGTATGCTTGGATCTGTGTCGTCACCACAATCAGGAGAGTAAAGAAGGTTCGGGATATAGCTCAGTGGTAGAGCACCTGCTTAGCATGCACAGGAACCTGGGCTGGATCCCCATCACCATGTATATGCAAGTTTATAAAGGTAGTAAACATGTCTATCAATCTTACAGAGAGAAGAATTTTTTTTTTTTCTTTTTCGAGACAGGGTTTCTCTGTGTAGCTTTGCGCCTTTCCTGGAATTCGCTTTGGAGACCAGGCTGGCCTCGAACTCACAGAGATCCGCCTGGCTCTGCCTCCCGAGTGCTGGGATTAAAGGCATGCGCCACCACCGCCCGGCAAAAGAAGAATATTTTTAACTGCTGTCAAGCAAACACAAAAACAAAGGAAAAAATGTTTGCAACACCATTCAAGCAACAAAGTGTGTATAGCTTTAATGTGAAAGGTTTTATTTAATTATTACTATTATTTTCCTGTGTGTATGTATGTGTTCATATGTGTGAAAGAGTGGTTATTACTATTATTTTCCTGTGTGTAGGTGTGTGCTCATATGTGTGAAAAAGTGGGCACATACCACTTCATGAGTTAGAAAGTCAAAAGGCATCCTTGGGTAGTAATCCTCACTTTCCACCTTATTTAAGACAGTGCTTCTCCTGGTCAATGCTTGATAAGCCAGACTAGCTGGCTTAAAAGGTCTGGAAGTTCTTTTGTCTTGGTTTACCATTTCCTAGAGGGAGGGGTACTCCGAGATCACAGACATGTGCAGTACTGCCTTTGGCTTTCATATGAGTCCTAGGAATGTAAACACCATGGCGGCATCACAAATGCTTTACCCACTGAGCCCCTCAAGGTGCTTGTAAATAGTTAATTAAAAATGCAGGGAAAAAAAATGCAGGGAAACAAAAGGGGAACAAAATGCTAGATAAAAATATTGAAAAAGGAATGCACATGTCAAATAAATTATTAGTAATAAACGTCAGACTTCTGATGACCAGGAAAGGAGTTAAAGGAAGGAGAAGCAAAATTCTCTGATGTTGGCTGTAAGATCAGTGTGAATTCACAGATTTAATATATTTGCAGATGAACAGATACAGAAATAGGAACAGGATGTGTGTGTGTGTGTGTGTGTGTGTGTGTGTGTGTGTGTATGCATGAGAGTGTACATACATATATTTCTTAGCCTTGTCTGCTGAAAGAGACCAGAAATAGTGATTTCCTGGATATTCTGGCACACAGATTTGGCTTCTGCACATCCTTTTCAAATGAAAGAGAGGAGTCAGTCTTCCTTGGACAAATGGATGCTTGGGCAAACATCTGGAGGAGGGACACAGTAGATAAATCTGGACTACCTCATAGTACTGGAAAGCAAGGAATTACCAAATATACGCAAATCATGTAAAAAAGGGAGTCAGCTTAAAATATTGGCGAGGGGCCTGGGGAGATTGTTCAGCCATTAAGAGCCAACACTGCTCTTGCGACCCAGGTTCAGTTCCCAGCACCCACCTCACAATGAATACCACCCCTGTAACTCCAGCTTCAGCGGGGAAGTGACATCTCCGGCCTTTGAGGGCAATTGTATTCACATGCACTTCCCCCTCTCCCAACACACTGAACACACACACAATTAAAAAATCACGAACGCTTTAAAAATTGATAAAATCAGGGACAATAGGAAAACCCAAAGAGATGGGAGTGATTATTACTCATGCGGTAAAGCAAGCATGCACAAGCCCATCGTGAGATCAATCATTGAAGAGGTAAACAAATGGAAGGAAAACCAGAGCTCTTCTCAGCGGAGAATTCCAAGCAATCTATGTAAAAACACGACTGAAGCAGACAACCAGCATTTGGCAAACGCAGTAATAATCATTAGAGTTGAGAATTGTCAACAGATGCTGAGCCCGGGAGGTCCAAGAGGGATGAGAACCTGGATAATCACACACATTAAATCATCGGTCTGACATGTATTAATCACCAAGATAAATATAGGAAATTCGAAGCAGAGAAACTTGTCACATCCTACTTTAGCCAAGCGATTGAGGCTGAAGTCGACAGCAGCTGGCCTAATCAACACCTCACACTCAACGCGCTATAATGAGGTCGCCATGTTGCTTTTCCCGTGTCCTTTAAAACACGGCAAAAGTGACATTTAATCAAAGGAAACATCAGGGGCACCTTTGCTGGGAGAGTCTTCAAAAGTCTGAAAGACATATAAGACAGAAAACACCAAACAAGGCAAAGCCAAAAAATAGTATGAGCAAACTGGGGCCGGATGAAAAGCGACTAAAGGAATATGACAGTTTTGGACAAAGTAAGTTAAGGACGTTGAAGATATGTCAAAGGTCATAGAGGCAAGCCCTAAGTATACAGTTTACTGTATAGTGCTGTTTTACATGCTGTTACGTTTAAAGAAATAAAAGAAGGCTAGGGGAATGACTTCAATGGGTAGGATGCTTGCTGTGAAAGCAAGAGGGACTGGGTTCAAATCATTGGCACCCACATAAATGCTGGGCATGGCCATGAGTGCCTGTAACACCAGCATTGTGTGTGTGTTTTGGGGGTGGGGGGGGCCGAGGCGCGGGCGTAGAGAAAGGTGGATATCCGGAGCTCACCTGCCACCTAGCCTACCTGGGACACAGAGCACCAGGTGCAGTGAGAGACCCTGTCCCTCCACCCCCTACTCAAACGTGCAAGGCACCGAGTACGCCTGTCATTTCTGAGAACACCATGAGGCAACTTCATGTACACTCATGGTCTAGTGCTTTTGGTCGCCTTTCTTCATCATCCTGTTGCAGATTTCTACTGAGGATGTGCAGCTGAAACCTCCCATGTGAGGAAAGTATTGCATCCTAACACCAAGCTTGTGTTTCAGGGTCCTCCTGGGCCCGACGACCTGTCTTGTTTGCAGATCTCTGTCACCTGGTCCCAAGTGGCTCTCCCTGGGATAGCTTGGCTCACAGAGATACCTGGGGAGTTGATCTTCCATGTCCTGTTTCTTGCAGCCTCCACCCTGCTGTGAACTTTACTCCACATCTGGGTGAGTCCGGAAAGAAGGGGAAGAGGAGTCTGCCATCACGTAGTTATGAAACCACCATGAGTCAGATGTCCAGAGTGAGCCTTCTCAAGCCACTCACTCTGCTCTGGCTGCTGCTGGGCCTCAGAGGATTAGGAGAGTTCCTACCAGAGACACGACGAGCTTTGAACATTTCCACAAGCTCACTGTTTCAGGGGCCACCTATCCTTGCTCTTTTTGAGTTTCAGGAGTCCACACACCAAGTAGAACACTTCCCTGAAATCAACCCATTGGTGTATTTTTTTTTTTTTCCAGCTCACGGGGCTTTATGTTTAAAAGGTCTCATCTGTCAGCTGGTTGATAAAACCACAATGAAGTTACGGGCCACAGTGTGGAGCATCAAAGAGAAGCATGCAGACTGTAAGGGATGTTCCCTTCTGAGTCACTAATCACAAGACTCCCAGAGCTGTTTACTTTATTATTTGAAGATGCATTCTGACCGAGGTCCTTATGAGATGATAAGGCGTAAAGACAGAAACAGGCAGAGGGCGTGCTGGGGAAGGTAGAGGGTTAGAACGGTGCACCTAGAAGTCAAAAAGCACTAAAGATTGCCAGGAAAAAACAAAACAAAACAAAACACCAGACACTGGGGAGAGGCAAGAGACCCCCTACTAGTGGACAGGAAGCATGCCTCTGCCTTCAAATATCAACAACTTTTGAATACCCATTTGTGGTACAGAGCAGGGGGGGTGGACACGAGGTCTGTGTTCGTAGGAAGCGAGCTTTTAAAGCCCAGTGTACATTCTCTACACTAACAAAAGACTTGGGCTGGGGAAAGAGGGCTCTGACGGGGACATAGGCAGATGACCCTGTCTTCTTTTTTACACTGGTTCTCCACCTTCCTGATGCTGCCACCCTTTAATTCGGTTCCTCGTGATGTGGTGACCCCCAACCATGAAATTATTTTTGTTGCTACTTCACAACTGTGATTTTTCTACTGCTATGAATCGTAATGTGAGTACTGGTGTTTTCCAATGGTCATTCTACTCCAAAGGGGTCGTGACCCACATGTTGAGAACCACCGCTTGAGATGTTCTGAGAACACAGCTTTGGGGATTGAAAAGATAGTCCGTTGTGGAGGCTAGAGGATCTTAAGTAAAGGTATGGACACTCTGTATTAGTCAACAAGCTCGTCTAGAGAGGCATGACTGATTCAGGAGCTGTACCGCTTGGCATCCCATTCTGTCCCATATGGTGGGACAGAACCTCCACAGGGGTACCTGGCGTGTGTTTACCAACACACACACACACACACACACACACACACACACACACACACACACACACACACACAAATAGTAAATGAATATAAAAAAGTTTAAAGTTAAACAAAAAAAAATCCAGTTTGTGTTTATGACAGGAAGAAAGCCATTGCATGTCCGCATGGGGTCACCAAGAGCAAGACCTGTCAGGGTCATCTCATCTTGGGAAGGGAAGTCAGAGGACAAAAGGTAGCTGACAAAGCACAGCAAGACGATATGGTTAGGAAACGAGTCATTTCCAGACTTTCGTATGCTGCTGTGTGGACACTCTGTATTAGTCAACAAGCTCGTCTAGAGAGGCATGACTGATTCAGGAGCTGTACCACTTGGTATTGAGGTTTCCTGTGGAGTGATGCAGCTCTTATTTAAGTGACTACTTCCTAGCCCGTTGAATCCTTAATAACCTAGAAAAGGCAAGCAATGCCAAGTTTATATTTGATGGGCTACATGACTCCATCTACAACTGGACCTGTGCACTGAGTTCTGAATGGCCTACTTAAGGAGAACACAGGGAGGCCAGGGAATGTTTGAAAAGGAGTGATCATGATGATAAATTGTGTAATACGTGAAACTGGTGATGTTTAGGGAGATACCCTAAATGATAAAGACCCAAGAAAAACAGGATAGCCAAGAAATCATGAGTTTTACTTTATCAGGGAGTTAGTGTTGATAATGGATCAGGTGATTCAAAAGGTACCCTCAACCTCTCAATCTGTCAAGACTTTCAAGAAAAGCCCTGGTGAGGAGGTCTGACAGCAAATCTCCATGAATTAATGTATAAAGTTAGCAAAAACATACTCACCAACTCCTTCTATAAAAACCAGATATAAATAATCATAAGATCAACCAACTCTGAAATGGATTTGTCCATTTTGTCCAACTATAATATCCACCAGGAAACCATACTGACAAGGCGTTATGGATTGGTGTAGCCACGGATGAGCAACCCAGAGGCACAGAGGAAACTGGATGGAACAGTGTCTACTTTTCAGCCAACCTGTACAGATCTTGTCTCCTGGACCTGGGATCTGAGGACCTAAAAGAATGGGGCGGTCTACAGTCTAATGCTGTAGACAGCCTTACTTCAATTTCAATGTCCTTTTACACACAAATGAATCAAAGAAAGCAATGATCTAAGGAAGGCTGTTTGAGTTTAGAAAAATATGTAAATAAACATCAGTAAGCACATAATACTAAGTATTAACAGAGCAGCCCTTTCCCAGAACATTCTCAGGACAGACCAATTGGAACACAATTGCCTGGGACATACTATAGATTATATTTGACAAAGCGTGAAAGCAAGGAAGGAGGCCACATCCAGACTCAGGGCACACTGACCAGATTGGTTTCTATAGCTATATTCTGACACTCAGCAAGAGTAAACATGTCTTATAAACTGGAAGTAAATGTTTAACGCAGGAGGCAAGAAATCATGTCCAACAACAATCCAGGGAACAAAATGCATGTGAAGTAAAGGACCTCTGCCTTTTTCCCCAGAGCCTTTCTCCCACTTCCCCAAGGCCTTGTGTACCATAAATCAGTTCTTTTAACCGTGTTCTGACAGAGCAGCACATCATTTATGATGGGGAACTTGACATATGATGGACATAGTTCAGTGGTAACATGGGGAGGCTGTCTACTGGATGCTGTTGAGAAAACTGGTAGGGGAAATGTAGTTGGAAGATTTAAACAATCTAAACAAAAATGGAGGTGGATAAAAAAAAGAAGTCAATGCGAACACGGAGGGTCAAACTTCACGTCTTTCTGATAGGCACACAATCCATCCCTGAACAGTTTTTTTTTCTCCTTTTCTTTTAACTTTGGGGAGGGTTCTAAATTGGCCATGCTGGCTTTGATCTAGCTCTATAGTTCAGGCAGGCTCTGAACCTGTGATCCCCCTGCTTCATCCTCCCAAATAGCTGAGATTACAGGCCATCACCAAGAGACCTAAAGAAAGATAAAATTTAAATAAAATAAAAGAAAATGTAGAGGGAGCACTTGTGATTCGGAGAGCAGGTCAAACTTGAACTCCCAAAGCTTGTTGGGTAAAATGACCAGGTGCCTATTTGTAAATTATTTGAATGACTTATACAGAGCTATCCCGATTCTTGACAGATTAAGAAAAGTGGCTTTTAATCTCAGCACTCTGGAGGAGTGAGTGAGTCCTGTGAGTTCCAGGACAGCCAGAACTGTCACACAGAGAAACCTTGTCTTGACAAAAAAAAAAAAAAAAAAAAAAAGTGATTTACAATGTCAGCATCATTATCGGCTATATAAAGAACATCACATCTGGGTGTGGTGCTAACACCAGGACTCAAGAGTCTGAGGCAGAAGAACCAAGAGTTCAAGGTAAGCTTGGAGTATACACAGAGATTCTGTCTCAAACAAATCGATTTTAAAAATCTGTAAGTATATATTTAGATTATAGTAGCAAAACATGGTAAACACAGAAAATATATTTGGGAAGGAGGCAGCAAAATGGCTCTGAGAGACTTTGGCATCTTGATTTATTCATTCAGTAAGTATAATACATTTATTCAATCAATAAAGTCAGTATTTATCTCAAACTGGACTATTCTAAGTATTGAAGGTAAAAGGTGAAGAATCTCTGCCTTGAGGTATTAAAATTCTCTTGGGTGTTTTTGTCTTCATAAAGATAAAAAATACTTCTGCTGTGTGGGTTTTCTTTTTAAAATCATAATCATGTAATTTTATAGCTGGTTGTATTTCTTCTGGATTCATATGTTTTAAAATATTTATTTAGCATTGGGGGTGGGTTATGTATGTACTACATCACTGATGTGGAGGTCAGAGGTCAGATGGCAGGAGTTGATTCTCTCCTTCCACCATATGGGATCTGAGGGTCAAACTCGGGTCACCAGCTGGCTCTCTCATCTGACCTAGATCTGTGTTTTTACACATTGACAAACAACGTCTCAGGGGGACCCGCTGATGCTGCTGGTGCTTACGTTAGAAGCCCAGCACCTCGGTGGATCCAGAATGCCCAACGTTGGATTTCTAGTCTTCTGCAACCTCATGAGAACGGCAACCTCCCACAGTGCAGTTTCTTCCTCAGTAAAGCAGCAATAAGAGTGATATTCAGCCTCAAGTTGGTTTAAAGATTAATTGAAATACCATTATCTAGAACAGCACTTGGCCTATGGCAAAAACTCAAGTTAGCCGCTTTGCTTCCTCTAGCTTGGTTGTATCATGATTGCAAAAATGAGATTTTTCCCTCAACACTGTATTTCAAAACTGGAACTGCTTTGGGTCATCAGTGAAATAACGGGTGTCTTCCTGTAAACAGCCCCAAAGAAAGAAAGCCACATGCTTTCCCAGACAGTGTAACCTGGTGCACGTGAAATGTGTCTCACAGATTAGCTGTTTTCCCCAGCACTTGAAGCCTTGACTCAGGATGCTCAATGGAAGGGTGGTAAGAGACCCCGTTACTGTTCTAGGCTCACCTTGCCATTCCTCAGTGGCCTTAAATCCTGGAAAAGGTGAGTGCCCTGCCCTCAGGTTGCACACACAGGCTAGGAACCTAGTACTTCACATGCAGTTATGAAACCACACATAATTGTCAATTGTCTAAGGAAAGATTAATGTCATCCAGCTGGCTTTTTCAAAAGGGTGTGAACTGGAAGGATGAATAATGCTCACTTAACTAGAGACCTGAGAGGCTCGCAGGAACGGGGTGATTCTACCGATGGGCAGTTTCTGTTGACTCTGTCATTCTTCCACTCAGTGGGCGGAGCCAGTTGCTGGATAAACAGACCCAGCCAATTATAAGGGGGAAAGAAAGATGTGCCCTCTGTTCTTTAGAGTTACAGCTGGTGGCAAGCAGCTGGACAGCACCGGTGCAGCAGAAGGAATCCCGGGAGAGCATGAGCTCCAAGCCGAAGCCCATAGGAATTATCGGAGCGCCTTTCTCCAAGGGGCAGGTGAGTGTGAGTCTGGCTTTGAGTGACTGGAACTTGTCGGGAAATGTTTTATTTTAACACTTGCCAGGCATTGCCATCTGGCTGTCAGTTTCCCAGCACCATCTGGCCTTCTTCTCACCACTGTGTGGCATGGCATACCTGGGGACTTAAACCCACTTCCTCTTTTGGCCCCTGCCGAAGTCTATTTCATTTAAATCTGAGTCATGCCAATGTTTTGAGCAAATTCACCTGGGTGGAGACCACCTGAACCTGCACTGTAGCTTCCTCCACGATTGCTGTGGCTCTTGATGTTTTCTGAATATGGAGTGAGAGATTGTAAGAGAACACAGTGGTCTGGCTGTGCCGTTCACGCCTAGAAAAATGTAATGGGTTGGTGGCAGCCTTCAGACTTGTTTTAATTTGGATAACTTAAATAGCAGAGCTCTTGCAAGTTGGTGAAGAATTCATGTTATTTTTGAGCTTGAATGATCTTATGGCTACTAGTTCATAGGCTAGGGCAACCCTTTACATCTCTCTTTGAGGAGAGAACCAGTACAAAATACTTCAAGTTGGCACCCCCGTCAGGACAAATGGCTCCATGAGTCTCCAGTTGCTTAGAGCACCTAAGTGTGAACCACACATGGCAGCAATGCCTAAATGAGCATTGCTCCCCCGTCCCCCACACCCCCTCCCCTCTCCACTGGGATACACTCATTCTGCTAATTGTAATGAGATAACAGGATGCCTTAGACTCCAACACGGTCTGTGTTTAAAAAAGAGGGGGGGAAAAGGTCCATGTCCAACAAGAGAGTCAGTGGATTGTAACTCCTTTGTTTTTAAATGGGGTCCTCCTGGCTTTTAGAATCTAGACAGCCTGTAGCCTTTTTAATTGTAAAGCCTCAAGGTACACACTGGCCTTTCTTTTCTTTTCTTTTTTTTAACCAATATAAATTGTGAGAGGCCAGAGGTTGGAGGCCCAGATTGTATTTGGTGTCAGTAAACAGCACTTCACTGTCCCTGGAAACCCCGCCGAAGAGCTCTCCCAGAACACCAGAACATGGGAGTATTTGTTGACACATGTTCCCTTTAAAGGGCACAACATGGATCCAGGAAAATGGCTCAGGGGTTAAGAGTACTTGCTACTCTTCGGGAAGACCAGAGTTCAGTTCCCAGCACCATATCAGGCGGCTCACGGTTGCCTGTAACTCAGGCTCCAGGGTATCCAATCAATACCCTCTTCTGGCCTCTGTGAGAACTACTGCTTCCCCCCCCAACTCCCCCCCCCCCCCACACCCATACACAAATAATGAAGAAACCCTTTAAAAGCACCATAGTATGCTCATGTGTTCTTTTGTTCTTAAGGATTTTACTTTTCTTTTTAATTGTGTATGTATTAGCTCATCTCTGTAAGAGCAGCATGCATTCTTAATCACTGGGCCATCTCTCCAGTCCTGCATCTCCTTTTGGAATGGTTTATAAAATAGACTTGAAAATGACAAAGAAATAAAAGGGAAGGAGGGGGACAAACAGAAGAGGAAAGAAGAAAGGGAGGAAAAAAGGAAGGAAGGGAGGGAGGGAGGAAGGAAGGAAGGAAAACACACCTTGGCCTCTGAGCTTATGCAGAGAGCTGCCCATCACAGTCAAGGCCCTTCTAGGAGACAATATGCTAAAACACCATCTGCTGCACAGTCCCATCCTCAGTAACTCTCCTCTGTCAGAGATTCTCCTTCATCATGAATGTGAGTCTGCAGCTCATTGTCTCGAGATTGTAAGGACAGAGACAGATTTTCCTGTAGTAAGCCATGTATCCGCGGGCGAAGCTGCCAGCACGTATGTGCAGCTGGCCTGCCTAGATGCGCCAGAAGTTTGACACACTGGCCAAAAGGAGGTTAGAAGGAAGATGGTTAGAAGTTTGAGCCTGAGAAAGAGCCTCATTATGTGCCTCACCTCATTCCAAGACAGTGAATAAAGAATGAGGTAGGTAGGCATTGTTCTCATCGGATGACTGAGTTAATTAAGGTTTGCAGTGGTTCTCAACCTTCCTAATGATGTGACCTTTTAATGCAGTTCCTCATGTTGTGGTGACCCCCGCAACCACAAAATTATTTCATTGCTACTTCATAATTTTAGTTTTGCCAGTGTTATGAGTTGTAATGTAAATATCTGAAATGTGACCCCAAAGAGGTCCACCGGTTGACAACTGCTGGATTAGAGCGATCTGCTAGTTTACTTGTAGTCATGGAACCTTCAGTGTGTGCTTCCAGACAGGATTGTTTGCTTCCAAAGCGTGTGTCCCAGTCTACACTGATGCTGATTTCGAAGGCTCAGCTCTATAGCAAATCTTTGCCTTGTGGCCAGTTAGGAGCTGGGTGAGACACTTTAGACAGTCAGGGTTGCTGACCAAGCAATTTTCAAAGTGGGCAAAGAAGCCAAGCAATGAGCATACAGTAATCATGACAAGTCGTTTTAATCAAATAAATAAAATGGAATGCTAGGAAATGTCATTGTGAGAGGCTAGGGATGTGGTTGGCAGAGGGTATGCAAGCTCACGAGACCAAAGCCCTGGGTTAGACCCCCAACGCCACATAAACTGAGTATAGTGATACACCCTTGTAATCCCCAAACCCAGGAGGTAGAGGCATGAGGATCTGAAGTTTCAGGTCATCCTTAGCTATGTAGTGAGTTTGAGGCTAGCCTGGGCTACATGAGAACAAGTATTAACAAGACAAAACAAACCCCAGTCATTCCTACTGATTCCTACCATTCCTACAGACAGACCCACTGACAATCATAGCAAATGCAGTGTCCACTGAGAGGTCTCTACAGGGTTTGTTCTGATGCCTGAAAAGGAGAAGGGGAAAGACGGGGAGTCGTATTAAGTTGTAGTTTGGGTACCACCTATATGTCAGATCTCCACTGCAACACACAGAACCCCCCGGATAAAAACATCTAGGTTGAAATCTGACAAGAAGAGCAAAGGACATGAAACTATAAGACAATAGAACCCAAGATGAGTATAGTCAGGAATAATCTGGCAGGGCTGGGAAGATAGCCAACCTTGTTGAATAAGCACGAGAACTTGAGTTTGTCTTCAAAACAAAACAAAACACCTGGATATAGTGGTATATATCTATAATCCCAGGGCTGGGGAGGTAGAGAGAGTTGGAACTTCGGCTCACTAGCTCGCCAGTCCACAGAACACTCATGTGTTCTAGGCTAGTGAGAGACAACAACCCCCCTACACACACACACACACACACACACACACACACACACACACACACACACACACACAGGGGCATTTATTACAAAGCTGGACAGAGTCTGCCCAATGGAAATTTTTTTTTTTCTGAGATGGGGTTTCACTATGTAGCATTAGCTAGCACGTAGTGCTAACTCTCTCTTTCTCTATGTACACACGCATACACACACATGTATGCATATAAATACACACACACACACACACACACACACACACACACACACACACACACACACACAAAACTATGGAGCTAAAACAGGGTGGCCTGTCTCATTCTCCCAAGCTGTGAGATTAAAGACATGCACCATTTATACCTGGTGGAATGGCATCTTGAGTTTGTCTTCCAGTCTGCACACACACAAACATGCATGGTGCATGTGTGCATTCATGCGTGCATATACACACACATGCACGCACATGTACACATAAAGAATACTGCACTATGCAACCCCCAAACGGAGAAGATTTTAAATACTTTTATTTATTTTTTATTTTTTATTTTTTTGGTTTTTCGAGACAGGGTTTCTCTGTGTAGTTTTGCGCCTTTCCTGGGACTCACTTGGTAGCCCAGGCTGGCCTCGAACTCACAGAGATCCGCCTGGCTCTGCCTCCCGAGTGCTGGGATTAAAGGCGTGCGCCACCACTGCCCGGCACAATTTTAAATACTTTTATTACAGAGAAATGATAAATGTTTAAGGTACTGGATGTGTTAACCTGAGTTGATATTACCAGTGTCTACATGGATACAGACCTCATGTTAAACCTTACGAATATATACACATAGTATAACTCAGTTAAGGAATGAGATATAAAGGGGCAGAGCCATGTTAGGAAGAATACTCAGGGTCCCTGGTGGCCAGCCGTAGAAATTTGACACCAGGATTTGCCTAGCACCTGGGGAAGATCATCTGTCATTTGGCCAGAGAGGAAGTATTTGCTTAGTTTAGGGTTACAGTTTCAATCCTTAGGATAAACACCTGTGACTTTTGACACCAATCTCCTGGCCAAGATCACTTTTTGTGTGTCTTTAAATTTAAAAAAAAAAATGTATCTTAAAGCATTTGAAACAAAGATCAGAAAGATACAGAAAGGATTTATTTCTTTAGACTTTTATCAGCCACAAGGCTGGGGAGGAATTTTTCCAAAGAGAAAGATGGTTAGCTTTCTGGATGTTAACTCAGCAAGGTAGGATTTCTCATGTCAGGTTTAAACAGGTCAGAATTTGAAATTCCTATGCTGGCCTTTGTGGTTTCAGGTCTTGGGTGACAATTTTTGGCCTGGTTTCTGCCCCAAGAGTCCTAAATTAACCTCCACTTATCAGTTGGGGTACTTTATTGTTTTTATTATTGTTATTATAAGTACTGCTGTTATTCATGCGGGTACAGGTCTTGTATATTGACTTGCATGTAGGTCTTTTGGGGCCATACTCTTCCCCTGCTGATGCCTTTGCCCTAGATTTTTCCCCAGGTAGCAAAGTTTCTCCATCACCCGGTCACCTTTCCTGACCATCTACCAGTGTTGCAAGACCGAGCCCAGAGATCACCTGCTGTAGGTAGCCAGCACTCATGGCACACCCTGTTCCAGACTCAATTAGAAGCATCCTGTTTTTCTATCAGTACTGAAAGAACCACCCGTGTGCTAAAGCTGCGACTGAATGTCCAGACTTAGTGGTTTTACGTGCTGGCAAGAGGAAAGCATGCTTTGGAATTCCAGGACCAACTTACGAAGCTAGTTCGGCCACTCGTCTGTCTGCTATTTGCCAGGGTGACAACGACTCTGTGGTTCTAGTCTCTTCTTTTTGGTGTAGGTGCAATTCACCCCACATTATTGTGAAGATTAGATGAGAAAATATAAGATCCACAGGAGCTCAAAACCTGCTGGTTAATGATTCAATTGATGAAATAAGGGGGAAGTTTTTCTTGTGGGCACTGGAGAGTCACAGTCTTGACGAAAGCACTGTACTTTTTTTGCATTGTTCAGCCTCGAGGAGGGGTTGAAAAAGGCCCCGCGGCATTGAGGAACGCTGGTCTGGTGGAGAAGCTTAAAGAGACAGGTAATTTTAAAGTTGAAAGATGATCAGGTAATGTCCGCATCACCCTGAAGGAAGGACAGGCTTCTAAGAAGAGAGGGTGTGTCTGCAGTGGTACTTACATTACTGAATCGAGGTATTTTTTTAAATCATTAGAACCATGTCCTACGAAAGAAGCAGGGCCTGGGAAGGATGCCCAGTAGACATTGTTGGTGGAATATTCTCATTTCCTTACTTGGTTTGATCTTTCTGGCCAAACTATTGTACAAAAGAATGTATGATACAAGAAAGATCGTTTGGGTGGATGATAGGGGACTGGGGGGAAACTGAAAATGAAAAAATAAAAGCTAGCCGGGCGGTGGTGGCGCACACCTTTAATCCCAGCACTCGGGAGGCAGAGCCAGGCGGATCTCTGTGAGTTTGAGGCCAGACTGGTCTACAGAGTGAGATCCAGGAAAGGCGAGGGAGGGAGGGAGGTCACTCATTGGAGAACAGAAAGCCCAAATAGGTTGCCTTGTCCTTAGTTAACCAGAATAAACTGACCACATATTTTATTTATCAGGTGAAATTCCTCGAATCTGTTGCTAAATTTTAGATTTAGATATATGCAGAGATGTAATAATACTTCAGCAATGGCTAGTTCAGAACACTGACCAGACTCCACACCACAGTGCACAGGATGCTCTCCGGCTCAAAAACTTACGTCAGGCCTTTTATGACTGAAAGCACAGCCAGGTCCTTAGGAATGTTGGATTCCCTGCCTTTTTTTTTTTTTTTCATTTTTCTTTTTTTTAATGTGAAAAAGTACAACAACAAAGTCTGCACTTCCTGAACCCTCTGATCTGGGACGTTTGGAGCTAAACACACACACCATTTACATTTTCAGCACACAAGGCAGGTGAGGTAAGGGAAGAAGCTGGCTGGGGGTTTCAGTGGGTGACAGCGTGGGTAAGACACCAGGATCCTGGAAGCAGGGTCAGAAACTTAGAAAATGCTACTTATAAAATATTATATCTGGGACATATTTAAAAACTAAATGTGTTCAGCACAGAAAGCTAAACATCATTTAGCACACATGTATAATACACACACATGCATGTGGGGAGTAGGGGGTGGGGGGTGGGGCACGGAACAAGATGATGTTCCCTGCTGGATCAAGACCACAAAGGGATCGTTGTCATTTTCCCAGCATCCGGTCCCCACGGATTGATTCAGGAAACAGGGAGGCCCTGGCACATGACAGCCATCGCAGTGAGACGGTGGCTGGAGGGCTGGCTTGTCATCTGTTTCTGTTCAGTAACATCAGACTTTTAATTGCAGAGTATGATGTGAAAGACTATGGGGACCTGGCCTTTGGTGATGTCCCTAACGACAGCCCCTTTCAAATTGTGAAGAACCCAAGATCTGTGGGAAAAGCCAACGAGCAGCTGGCTGGTGTGGTGGCAGAGGCCCAGAAGAATGGAAGAGTCAGTGTGGTGTTGGGTGGAGACCACAGGTCTTGTGAACTGGCTATATTCCTGGGGGTTGGGCACAGGTCTCATAAGGGGACCCAAGACAAGGGAAAATACAGACAAGAAAGCACTGGAGGAGAGTTCGTATTTTTTGCCTTTAGGGACATTGTGTAGGTTCATTTATTACGGAAATATAGACCGGGCTCTACTTGAAGTCTTAAAATCGCTTTATCCGTTACAACAGGAAATATGCCAAATGTGGATTTCAGCATAGCCTTAAATTTTATAGTGATTAGCCACTGAGGAAAGTCAGGGTTTATTCGACTTGATTATTGATGACATACACAATTCATTTAGGTGAACAATGGAGACATACATGCTTTCCACTATAAAAGTACTATAAAAGTTTTGAAAGGACACATACGAATTCGTGATCAGTTTAACCATTATTTTTGTGTCACTTCTCATGTTCTGTTCTAAATCAACAGTCTAAATTTCGTGATGTTTCTACTTAGTATGCACAAAAGTATGGTTTTTTGCTTCCTGAGTAATTTTTCATCTTGGAATGACACCACTCTGACTGTGCGTGTGTGTGTGCATGCGTGTGTGTGTGCATGTGTGTGTGTGTGCATGTGTGTGTGTGTGTGTATACCATATAGTCAGATATGTAGTTTTACATTTTCACTAAAACAAAGGTCAGTTTTGTGCCTAGAGCCAGTTTGCTGTTTTCACTCAGGGATCACGTCCTGGGGAGGCCTGATGCGTTGAAGAGTGAGAACATTCCCGCTGCTCTTGAAGCAAGAGCTGCCTCCTTGGGTGCCCCTAGTTCCTCGCTGGCCCCTGCAAGCAGGGCTCTTACGGCAAAGCTGCACTTTAGACGGGACTTGCTTCCCTTTCTTTTCTAAGTGGGAACATTGGAAGTGGAAATGTTAAGAGTGCAGATGGCCCAAAGGCATGAGACTTAAAAGTAACAGGAGGCATCAAGCCAAATGGACTTGAAGGCATGAAATTTTCCACTTTGAGACTATGGATGCTCATGAGTCTGAGTGGTATTCACATGTTTACAGGTGTGATGACACAGGCATCCTATGTCTGGCCTAGTGTTAATACCTCTGCGCAAGGTATCACTTAGCTCTCCCATTCCGGCCTCATGTGGAGCCAGGAGGATTCTGGGATGGGCTTTTATGTCTCGGGACCCGATGAGAACGGGGCCTTGCATGGAGAGTAGTCAGCTAAAGTAAAGGAGCTGAGGACTGACTGGACAGACAGACACTGGCTGTAGGGGATGGAGGAACTCCCTAGTGATTCTGCCTGATTATGAAAGTGCTGACTTATGAGAAAAAAAATTGAAAGACTGCTATAATTGGACACAGAGAATCAAGTACTTAACAAGAGAGTCCAGAAAAGGAGCCAGTTCAATCCTGAGAACTAAAGAGTGTCCATATCTTTCTTAGTGATGTTACCAAGGTAACTAGCCGGTGACAGCTACCCCTCCTCTGTTACAGTGGTTTAACCAGTACCCTTCTGGTCTATGCAGAAGCTAAATAGATTTAAAGAATATTCCAGTAGGCACAGTATAAGAGCTAACAATATGATGTATGTGATGACATTGTAAACTTGATGTTCACACAAACTTTCCCCCTCACCCAAGTATGGCAGTTGGAAGCATCTCTGGCCATGCCAGGGTCCACCCTGACCTATGTGTCATTTGGGTGGATGCTCACACCGATATCAACACTCCGCTGACAACCAACTCTGGGAATTTGCATGGACAACCTGTGTCCTTCCTCCTGAAGGAACTAAAGGGAAAGGTAAGAGGCTCCTTAGCTGATATGAAAGAACTCTGTAGTAGTTGGGGAGGCAGAAGCAAACAGGAGAGTCTTCCTGCCTTTTATTCTTGGTCTTCTCTGTAGTAAATAAGCAAAAGGTGAGTCGATAAAGGTAGGAAGGCTCTTACTGGACACTTTGCAGACTGATTGCATCTGGAGCTGTCCTCGGTATCCATGAGGGATTGGCCCCATGACCTCATAAGATAACGAAACTATGGGTGATCAAGTCTCACAAACAATATGACACAGTATTTAAATATAAAACCTATGTGTGTCCTACCACACACTTTAGATCAGTTCCAGATCACTTATAATGCCAAACACAATATAAATGCTATGAAAAGAGTTCCAATTGTACTGTCTAGGGGGAAAGCTTGTATATATTCAGACCAGTACAGGCTTAACTATATCTTCAATCCGTGGCTGGTGGAAACATGGGTGGAGAGGGTTGACTGCTTTCTCTTTGGATTCTTTCTTTTTTGGGGAGGGGGGCTGAGGCTGAGTTTCTCTGTGTAGCAATCTTGGCTGTCCCAGAACTTGCTTATAGACCAGGCTGGCCTTGAACTCAGAGATCTACCTGCCTCTGCCTCCCCAGTGCTGGGATTAAAGGTGTTCGCCACCATACCTGGCCCCTTTGGATTCTTTTTTTTGTTTGTTTTTTTTGTTTTTCGAGACAGGGTTTCTCTGTGTAGCTTTGCGCCTTTTCCTGGAACTCACTTGGTAGCCCAGGCTGGCCTCGAACTCACAGAGATCCGCCTGGCTCTGCCTCCCGAGTGCTGGGATTAAAGGCGTGCGCCACCACCGCCCGGCCCCCTTTGGATTCTTTTTTTTTTTTTTTTTTTATGGTTTTTTGAGACAGGGTTTCTCTGTGTAGCTTTGCGCCTTTCCTGGAACTCGCTTTGGAGACCAGGCTGGCCTCGAACTCACAGAGATCCGCCTGGCTCTGCCTCCCGAGTGCTGGGATTAAAGGCGTGCGCCACCACCGCCCGGCCCCCTTTGGATTCTTTTTTTTTTTTTATGGTTTTTTGAGACAGGGTTTCTCTGTGTAGCTTTGCGCCTTTCCTGGAACTCGCTTTGGAGACCAGGCTGGCCTCGAACTCACAGAGATCCGCCTGGCTCTGCCTCCCGAGTGCTGGGATTAAAGGCGTGCGCCACCACCGCCCGGCCCCCCTTTGGATTCTTAAATTACCCTTTTGAGTAGATCAACAGACCAACCCTTTCTACACAGATCTGTAGAGATTCAGAGGGTAAACAACTTGCCCAGAGTCATGCCAAGTTATTGTGAGGCAAGGACAAGCAGGTCTCCTGGCTCCTACCTCTTCTAACTACATCACAGGTTCTTCCTTTTACCAAGTAACCCCTCCATATCAGAGCCTAGACAAAAGAGCACCGTTGCCATGCAGATTACAATAATTTTTTTTTCAATAGAGTCTTGCTAGGTGGTTGAGGCTGGCCTGGAACTTTCTGCCTGCTTTCTGAGTGCTAAGACAGGAGTGTGCCACCATGGCTTCCAATGGCTTCAGCTCTTGAGAAGCACTTATCTGAACAAGAGGAAGAATCCCTCCCATTCCTGAGAAACTTCTTTAAAATTCTGGATTAAGTCCTTTTGAGAAAGGGAAGTAAAGAGGGAAGCTATTAAAGTCACGGAGGCACACATTTCTCAGTATTAAAAGTTCTGGGGAAGAATCTGAGCATTGCAGTAACAGGGCACAGAGCATGAAACTACCAACAAGAGCCCAGGATAGGGTTAGGCCACAGGGCAAAGCTGTTGAGGTCAAAGCCATCAAGAGTATACAAAGCAGATATCCTTCCTAATCTCACACTGTTTTAAAAATCACTCCTAAATTTATACTGTTAGATCTACATAATCAAGTGTGCTCAACATTAAATGCAGATCAGTTCTAAATGGAAACACTGTTGTTTTTAGTTCCCTGACGTACCAGGATTCTCCTGGGTGACTCCCTGTATATCTGCCAAGGATATCGTGTACATCGGCTTGCGAGATGTAGACCCCGGGGAACAGTAAGTTTATTCCATGTTCTTTTATATGCTAGGTATGCTTTACTGGTCAATCTGTAAGAGAAGGTTATTTTAAATTGTCACTATGTATACATGTATGTGTATACACAACTATATAAGCACATGCATTTATATTCTCTTATACACATAGATATTATTCAGGCAATTTATAATGATTTACTCTTAAAACACAACTATGTGCATTTCTAACACCATTCACAGGGCTTATTTTATGTAACTTATTATAGTAATCTTTCCACCAAAGGCAACACAAGAAAAATCAGCCTTATTAACTGTAAATTAACTTAAATCTGTTCTTTTATAGCTATATTATAAAAACTCTGGGAATTAAGTATTTCTCAATGACTGAAGTGGATAAACTGGGAATTGGCAAGGTGATGGAAGAGACATTCAGCTATCTTCTAGGAAGGTATGATGCTTTCGTGTGCATGTGTGTAACCAAGGTTTCCTACCGACATTCTTATCAACAAAGGTTGTTTAGGTAAAACCATGGGATTTCCATAGGTTATTTTTATAAAGGAGGATAAGCCCTACATTTGATTACTGATTGCTAAACCACCACTTTAATGGAAGGCCTTTCTTATCTCTTAAAAGAAAGAAAAGGCCCATTCACCTGAGTTTTGATGTTGATGGACTGGACCCAGCGTTCACACCGTCGACTGGCACACCTGTCGTGGGAGGCCTATCCTATAGAGAAGGTATCTACATCACAGAAGAAATTTACAAGACAGGTAGGTAAAAAAGGCAATTAAGAAACAGCTCTACACTTGGCTAGTGTGTAAGTGGGCCTCTCTGATTTGTTTTTTCTTTTTTGTTCTTTGAGACAAGGTTTCTCTGTGTAGTTTTGGTGCCTGTCCTAGATCTCGCACTGTAGACCAGGCTGGCCCCGAACTTAGAGATTCGCCTGGCTGCCTCGCGAGTGCTGGGATTAAAGGCGTGTGCCACCGCTACCCAGCTCTCTCTAATTTAAAAGCAAGCCCGCTGGTTCTCCCAGAGCACCTATCATGAGATGTAATACATAATGTTTTCTGTTGGTTGTCACTTCTGCTCCACTAGATAAATTTTGGAATCAGTTGATGTCGGTTACTTTGATCAACGATATCCATACCATTTTTTTTTGCTGTAGGACTCCTCTCAGGACTAGATATCATGGAAGTCAACCCAGCTCTGGGGAAGACACCAGAAGACGTGACTCGTACAGTGAACACGGCAGTAGCATTGACCTTGTCTTGCTTTGGGACTGCTCGGGAGGGTAATCATAAACCAGGGATTGACTACCTTAACCCACCTAAGTAAATGTGGGCGCATCACATGAAAATCAGCTGATCCATGATAGCAACTAGAATAGACCTAAGCAACAGTTCTCCTAAGAGTTCATTCTTTCAGGGTTTTTTCTCCCAGCAAGTATTCCACCACTTCCTTTATGGGATGAAACTCAGGGTGTGGAAGTTCGAACAACAATGAAATTAGGACATATGTATTCCTAATTTTAGCATAAGTTATCTTTAAAAAGCAGTATAAATTGATTTCCAATTAAAAATGCTCCATCATTTAAAATGCACATCCCTGTAAGTGCCAACTCACTAGGGTGGGCCTTATGACAGTTAGAGACAAAGGTGTCCAAAGGGAGGGAGCCATGTCCATGTTGTTCAAAAGATGTGATTTTTTTTGTAATAAACTCATTATAAAATTCTGTTGTCTGCATCTTTTCATATACATGCACCATATACTTATGTGTGTACCATACCACATATGTACTTAACACACACACCACACACACACCCTTCTTAAAATCACTGTAAAGATTCCTACAAGGCATAGAAACAGTCATCCCTAAAACAATGTAAAATTTTGAAGCCATTAAAAGTTGGTTTGTCTTACCTGTAAAATGGATAATCACAGGCTTAGACAATCTCTAAGTTCACTGATAGTAGATGACCATTTCTTTTTCTAAGCAAACATAACATTGATATTTTAAGCATGACTGTTGTGCAGGTATCCATAAAGAAGGGATTCACAAATATCTATGCAGGAACCAGTGGTTCCTGCATACTAATACATCTTAGGAGTCCACCTAACGTCCCCTAGGCTTTGGGAAGCCCAGCCTCCCATCACTGCCGCGGCAGCAAGTTGATTAGCTAAAACTGTTAAGCATTCTAAAAACTCACCGCGGCGCTGAAATAAGCTGAGGGAAGAGGAAAGACGAATGAAAATAGAGTGTAACTGTCAGAACAAGTGCTGCCGTGTGCGCGTGCCCTCACCTAAACTTAGGTGGCAAGCGCAGGGAAGGCTGTGATGAAGTGGGCTCCACAAGGGGATTTTCTTGTTTTAGCAGCTGCACGTAAGGCTTGACCATCTCATTTTTCATATGGACTCCTAGAGTTTAAGCCTAATTACTGCCTCTATAGCCTCTGAAGTAAATTTTATTGAATTAATTTTAGATAATTATGATGTACCTTTAAAGTACCGTGTACGATAGAGTAACCACATGTAGCCATTTACATTAAAGTTGAAGAAAAATGCACAATTCGGCTCCCGGTGTTGAATGCTTGCTAGCCACACACAGCTATAAACTGTGAACCACACAGCAGAGGCAGCGTTTTTTTTTTTTTTTTTTTTTTTTTTTTTTTTTTTTTTTTTTTGTTTTTCGAGACAGGGTTTCTCTGTGTAGCTTTGCGCCTTTCCTGGAACTCACTTGGTAGCCCAGGCTGGCCTCGAACTCACAGAGATCTGCCGGCCTCTGCCTCCCGAGTGCTGGGATTAAAGGCATGCGCCACCACCGCCCGGCTAGCGGTCATGCTGAGCAGAGTCACAGTTAGTCACTGAAAACAAGCACCCAGGCCCATATTTTAGGATACAATAATGTAGTGATTTTCTTCCCCCAGTTATAAACCCAAAGTTTCTGTCTTCTATTAATGTCTCTGATTACTCTAAAATGCCAAAGTCCAATTTCTGTTTTTTAAGCTAGAGAGGGAAAATTGAATCTTTAACAAATTGATTAGTATGTATATGCCCTTGAGAAAGTGGTAAGACTGCATTTCATTCTCCTGTTTAATATCAAATATATAAGAATTATATATAAAATATATAAATTATGTAATAGATAATATATCAAATACATATAATATAAATTCCAGGGTCAAATATTCCCACCTCAAAGCACAGAGAACTAGTCACTGAGGTACAAAGAATACACTGAGACTATGTTAAGAGTAACATTTGGTGATGAAGAAACGATTGTAGCTTCCTGTCCAAGAACTCAAATTTAACGCCATCTGTTTTGGCTCAGTACCGATTCCCACAGAGTAAGTGTGACTGACAAACCACCCTGATTCTGCACAGCTGCTTGCTGTACATGGGAACACATCAGGACAACTCTGTCCTATGTGATTATAGTATAGCCCTGCATAACCTTCATCAGCATCACTGTAGTTTGATAGTTTTCCTGAGAAAAACAGAATTTCTACTTTTGTATTATTTGGAAGGATTAGTCTAGTTCCAACAAGGCATAAGAAGTAAAGCAATATAACAAAAGTTTGTTAGAAATCTAAGACTTCTTATATCTCATAATAATTATTTGATTAGTATTATATTGAAATCCAGTTAGTTATAGATTACAATGGAGATACAAGACCTTTTTTTTCCCATTGAGACTATTAGTTAAATAAAAATGTGTAAGAAATTTAAAAAAAAAAGTAACATTTGGAATCATTCCTACTATAAAATTTCTGGAGAAGAATATTTATTAGCCTAGAAACATTAATGACACCACTATATGTTTTAAGATAGTTACACATGGCAAATAAAGATTTAGTGATTGCAAGGACATGAACTACAAAAATAAAGGTCTAAGAGGAACATACTTCATAGTAAGAATATGACATGTAGCCAACTAAGTTTATTATCCTAATTTTTTACAAAGAATAACTCAAGATTCCCAGGTGATGATGTTAACATCTGTAGTGCAGACACAAAGGCTGCCTTAGTCTCCAAGCAGCGGGTGCTCATATTAGGTCATTAAAGATATCATATAATTGATTCGACTTTACTGGCTTTCAAGGTTTTCAAAATGCCATTTCCCTTTAAATTAGCACCTCAAAAATCAACAAACCCCAAAGAACTAAAATGTGCACTACATTTAAAATTTGGGAAGTTATAAAAATTCAGAAAATTTGAAGAATCTTATCATTTGCCAGGTGAGTATGAATCTGGAAAGGCACACAATGTATTTCAAAAATAGATCAGGGAATCAAACATTTGAGCATGGCTTTATTTAAATTTATACATCTCATGTTATTTTCTTACAAGGTTTCTAACTCATTTTATACAGAAAGTTCAGTGCAAAGGCAAAACTCTTCTATACTTTGGTAGAAACTTTACATCTTTTATTTGGAAATATTTGCAAACTTAAAATTTATAGTTAAATTTTACAGCCAGTTAAAAAAGAGTATGAAACCTCGTTTGTTCTTGTAAACATAGGCCTTTTAATTAATAAAAAGGCTCTAAAGACGTAACAGAGGACATTTGTATAAAAGGGTTTGTAATGACCATTTGACATGTGTTATGTCTTTAAGACAACGTGTATGAAATGTGAAGATGTCCCTTACAATAATTTAAAAAGTGGCTGAAACAAGAAATCTGAGAGTGCCTGGTAAAAGCCACTTAATTATAGAAAGCCCCTGCTCCTAGGGACTCTGAACACACTTATGAATATGAACAACATGTAGCTTACTTAATCTCTTAGAGACGAAATACAGACAGGGAGAAGGAACTCCGAGGGTGTCGAGAGATCCAGTATTTGAATCAGAATAAACCAATCTGAACATGCGGCTGCTTCTGTCCCATCAGCACAGTGCGCCGTGTTCAGATTTAGAAGACGTGAGTCCACTTTCGCAGGCAGAAGCATTCTTCACCACAGCGTCTCGGCTTTCACTGAGTTACTGGTAGAGATGGTGGCACCTGACTGGACTGAGGTGCTGGAGACCCGCTGTTGAGGGCCTGGGGAGGCACCGCTGGCTCCATCTTGCTGATGTGTGTGATGAATCGGAGACGAAGCTTTAAAGCTGGCTTTAAATTACAGATAATCTTCTCTACCTAAGAAACGAGAATACAATTAAGAAAAAGAACACACAAAGAGCTTCCCATTTACAGAAGTGACTTCCAGTTTTCAACAGTACATTACATACAGGGGGGCTGGCAGACAGGAAGAAAAAGGAAGCGTTAGCCCCCAAGGCCAAGTTCTCAGCACAAAGGAGATTTACCTCAGAAGGACGAAGGACATAGAGTAAGAGACAAAGACAGGACACAGAGGACGAGGGAGAAAGGGAAGAGAGCAAGGGAAAGGGGGTATGGTTATTTGTCCCACAGGGACAAAGGACAGCCTCTGGATAGAGAGCAGACAGACAGGGCACCCAGGAAAATGGCGGTTTAGAAAGATACGAGAGGAAACCCCGTGTTAGGATGAGGTGTTTAATTTTAACTGGGCATGTTAATTAGGTGAACCAAAGGGGGCTTCTGATTGCTGGACCTTGGTGGTCAGTCTCAGGGGGAGGGGGGAAGTGGCCAAATAAGGGAACAGACCTTGGCGGCTAGCTTTAGGAATGTAATCTAATGGCTTTTAGCAAGGGAGCGGGAATGCGGGGAGGGCAAGGCCTGCCAGAGCCATGCTGGCCACCCTTGAGCCGGCCAGAGTCCCTTCAGGAAGTTTTACAAAACAGATACGATTTTTTCTTATACAAGCAAGCGTATATAGTCTCCCAGCCACACACAACGTATATGTACATGAGGTGTCTATATGCCTATCTGTCTATGCATGCACTTCAAGAACTTACCAGCCATCTGCCCGCCCAGTTATCCATCCTGCTATCCACAACTAGAACTGTTCCCATTAGAAGCTGTATACATTGAACAACTTGGTTATCCTTCCCAAATGTTATGCTAGCAGAAGCAGGAAGAATACTTAGATTTTAAAGTTTTTTGGATAACTAACATTTGTAACATTTACCTCCAAAGCTATTTTCTTGATTTTATACTTGGATTCATCACACACATTAGATGGAAGCACCAGAGCCTCCACGGTATCAGATGCACTCCGGAAGTATTTTAAGGAGACAAATGCACCAGTCTCCCAGCTTCTTAGCTTTACTGTTCTTTGATCTTAGGAGGAAAGATCAGGTTGCCAGTAATGTTTCTTTTTGCTTTATTCCCTTGTCAAAGTTTAAGTCCAAATATAAAGAATACATTTTGGTTTTAAAAAGCACTAATCAGTTCTCCTACTTTTCTGTGTCTTAACAGAAGCAGACACTAAAAGAAATTCCTTCCTTCCTCCCTCTCTCCCTCCCTCCTTCCGAGGGAGATTATTAACTCCAACAACGCCGAGAAGGCATACAGTAGCCCATGCCGCCCTGGTCTCAGCTCCAAGTGAGGAATGTAGACCGGCATGCACACGCTGACACAGTGATTACCTTTCTCTCTGACAGACATGCTCAAGAACATACATGCAAGCGTGGAGATGCTACAACAAAACCCACTTCTCTGTACTGTTCACAGAGCTAATTAGGAGAAAATTCCAACAGCACTAAACATGATAACTGCCCCACAGGAAAGGGGGGACAGCAGTCAAGTATTTAGAAGAAAGGGGTGTACCTCACCTATCTGCCACATTGCCACCCCAAAAGTGCTCAGATGGTTTCTTACACATGGGAAACACATGCATGACCAAGGAAGTGCCTCTTCACATGTTGAGTCTGTGTGTATCCCTTCCAATTCCATATCTATATCATTATCCACAGACCTTAGGCTGTGTCATGTGATACTGAACAAATCTAACACTCCAGACGGAAACCTTCCAAATGGTGGGGAACATTTCCCTGGGACTTGGTTATTCAGGTTAAGAATCCTCATGTTCTTCAGAAACTCTCCATACGCCAATCTCTTGACCAGCCTGGCTTGACTTCTAGCTGTGCCACTGTGTGTTCAATGTTCCAGAGACCACCCTAATCAGTGGGGCAAGGGAGCGTCCTTCACTAAGAACACACACCCTCTGGGGTCTTCCTGGCCACACCACACTGCTTTCCCCATGTGAGATGACCACTGAATGAGACTACTGCCCACTGATGCCTTAGGGTTTTTTCAGATGTTTTGTTTCAAACATCACAGTGAAAAGTCAAAGAGATCATTTTTTTTATCACTGTATCTAGAATAATGTTATCTTCTGGCCTTAAGAGGTACCTCACAAAAATAAACTCAAACTAAAATACTCACTCAAACAAAAATGTTTATCACTATGTATTCAAGTTTGATAGGTCAAACATCATTAAAAAGTAAAAAAAAATTAACTTACTTGCTCTTTTACACTGTCACCAGTAAACATATACTTCATATGATACAGGAAGTCACAGATGGGGTCCATGTAATTTAAGTGTGTGCTGCACTGGTCTACATTCAACAGCATGTCATAAAATGCTACACCAATCTATACAAAAAAATAATGTCAGGTTATTTAAATGACTAAAATGATCAAATTATTCAACAGAACACATC